TGACATTTGTAAAGTGTAGAAGAGCCACACAAAGCTGGATACAGCGTTGGAGGCAGAACCCCAATCATTCTAATTGAAGTTGCATTCAGCTGCCATGTATAAAATTAGATGATCCACACTGCTTCCGCATCATCATCATCATCATCATCATCACTAGAGACTTCTGCCAACCAAACTGGCTACTTCTGGTTAAGCACTTTGCTAACTTGAATTGGAATAGTATGATTCAATCATGCTGCTCTTCTAGACTTTCCAAATGTTATCGGACTGAATAGATCACATTCTGATAATAAAATCGGTCATTTAGCGGTGTTAGGCTAGTGCCATTTACCAACAGGCCAGTGCAGGAATGAGTCCTAAAATCCAGAAACGAGTTAGCATTTTAGCGCTCTCGGTTCCCTCGTCTCAGAGTCAGTGGGGCTTTTGAATGAGTTTTTGGTTAGATGCCTGAAATAAGGTGTGTGGTTAACACAGGCTCAAAACACTTTCATGTTTCACTGTACAAAGTAAAATATGTCAGTAAATACCCAACGCAAAAATTTTGAAGCTATTACATGTCTAAAAAAAGGTGCTAACAAGTGGCTAGATGAGACTACAGAGTGTCATCACCCTGAACACAACTTTAAGGTCTCATTGTGGTGGCGACTTTAGTAATGTGACTGAAGTGTAGTGTGTTTATGACCTAACGTTAGCTTTTTACTTCGCCTGACTTGCATTTAGCCTTCAAAAATCATAAGTAGTGTTCTTTTGTGAAGATATTATTGAACAAAACGTCTAAGTATCATAAACGTTTGTTTGGCACAAAGCTAATTTTCTGCAATATTTGAAAAACCAATGGAAAATCCCACTGGCTTTTTGACAAGGGAACCAGGGCGACACTTACTTCTGCTTCGGCCTACAAAAACAAATGTTATCCCTGCAGCACTGTGTGGGTTTACAAGGCATCAAGTTTGGGCTAGTGCTGAAACAGTCAATTGATCAGTTGGCTAATTCATAGAAAATTGATAGACAATTTTGTTTTATTCATTGTTGAAGTCATTTTCTTACAAAAACTCCACAAACATTCACTGGTTTCAGCCTTTCAGATGTAAAGATTTGCTGTTTTTTTCCTCTGTTTTATGATATAAACTGAATATCTTTTGGTTATGGACAGTTGGTATGACAAAACATGACAATAGAAGTCATCACTTTGACCTCCATGGAAGTTGTGATGGGGATTTTTTATTGTTTTATAATGTTTTATAGATCAAACGATGAATCCAGAAAATAATCACCAGATTCATCTATGATGAAAACACTTCTGAGCTGCAACCCTTGTTCATGTGTTATGTTGAACTTTAAGTACTATAAAGAGCAGGTTTACACTCTCTCACTCACTCACACACACACACACACACACACACACACACACACTGCCTGGAAAATGTAATATACAAGATGTTTTTAAATAGGGCTCAGATGATGGTAAAGGCAATCAGCATTACATTCTCAAGTATGTGTTTGCATGTTTTTGAGGAAAATCAGGGCTGATAAATGCAATCATACCTGCATCTCAGACACTGGAGGTGGATGATGACATTCTGTGGAGTCACTAACTAAGTCACCAACAGTGAGTGAGAGGCTCATTATGTAGATACATGGATCTTTTATTGGAGGGTTATTATCTATAAATGCTCCAGTTTTCTTTCAAAATAATCCACATACATTTTCACTTTTGACATCAACTTTCACCTGACATCTGCAGACACCAAACACTCGTGCTTCCAGCAGAGAGAAACCAACAGAATTATTTCTAAACCAGTTATAATCCAGCCCTGATGAGTGAATGCTTGCTGCCAAGGTTTCTCTCCTCCCAGGACTCCAGAGCACCACTGTCTGTCTGCCCTCAGCCTGTCTGTTTCTCTGTATGCCGGCCTACAGCACAGCAACTTAATGATGTACAAATGTAATTTGCTCAGAAGTATTTTCTGTAAAAGCATAAGTTTATCTGTGGTGACACAAGAGGAAACTGTCCCTTGTCTTTGTTATGTTTAACTTTTTTGAGTCTATGCTGAAATGAGATTGTTGATAAGCCGGGATTGAAAATGGTCCGCAGCTCCTCCAAACAAACACAACAGGACAAAGAGGTTGCATGAATGACATAGTCTATTATGGTACTGCTGTGCATGTCTTCAAGTCCCATCCCTCCACTATGCAAACACTGTAACATACCGGGGCAACACAAACTACCAACATGAGAAAGGGGTGAATGAATGAACCAATAATGTATAAAATGATCAGAATTAACTGCTAATCATTTGCTCTGTACATTCGTTTTCTTTGAATTGATAAATACAGATTGTGATATTGAAAGATAATGGTTGTTTGTGTCTTTTGTCAAGCAGATAAGTGACATCTAGGGTCTGGAGGGGGGCAAGTTAACGTCACGTTTATTTGTACTGCCTAATATCACATGCCATGTTTAAACATTCATCACCCAGCCCAGAACAAACAAAAAAATCCCCTATTATATTCTTTACTATACTCATAGTAAGGCCTGCTGGAGGAGCTATGAGTGAGGATGAAGAGGTGATGTCTTATCGGCACATATAAAAGAGGCATGACACACAGACAAATGATGCAGCTGTGCCACACGTTATATTCATTGACTGCAGCTCAGAAAGCTGCTGCTGCGGCGTGACGACAAGTGAGGGTGTGTCAAAGAGACAAAATAGCAGCACTTGATTAGTACCATTTTAGAAAAATAACCTGTTATGTTTGGACCTTAATCGCAGCACAAATAACACGTTAACACTGACATCCATACTATAAATCAATGATTTGGTTAGTTAACACACATGAAATAAAGTAAAATATTAACTTGTTAAATAGATTGCATCTGGCATCAAAATACAATCAGCATGTTATATTTTTTCCACCTGACAAAACATATCATCCTGTTTTGATGATTTTATATATGGCACAATTTTACTGGCTAATCCAACAATTGGCACAAAATCTCCTGCATTTATGTTATTAATTGCAGTTGCGGATTACTTGATGCACACTTAATTAACTGTCCAACAGATCTGAGATCGTTAGTGCTGCAATCTTTTTCCTTTGTCCAAGTGGCAAAGAGATCATGGCCATCATGTGCAGTGTGTTTGGGCTGTTTTGACTTGCAGGTGATCCGACTTAATTCTGACTCAAAATATACTTTTTAAGTTCATTATTCTGTGTTTACTAAACACGAACACAATGAGACACATTACCTTTAGCACATTACTGACAGTGAGCACATCTTAGTGTCTGAGGAGTCCTCTGGCCTTCCTCTAACTTCTCTCAGAATTAGGAGCAACTTTTAGCACTTAAGTGCTTTGTGTATTAATTTCAGATTACAAATTTAAAGTAAGGACTTTGATGCAGGTTATTTTTAGTTTATTTCTCCTAACTATTCCACCGAGTAGCTACTTTTAGTAGGAGGATGTTTTGTGAGTACAGCTCCAGGTCTACAGCAGGTTTAAAGGACACGCAGGACAAGACTGATGGAGGTTAGTTGTTTTTTTTTTTTCATGAGTCAACAACAGTGACCCAGAGACACTTTGCAGGATATTTTCCTGAAACCATCAACAGTTACTGAGCTTAATCAGATCAAACTGAACTTTATCAGCTTCACAAAACAAATGTTTGAAGCCATTTTTAGAGCTCTTTGGACATTTCAGTGTAGTTATGCCCTGAATTATATTGTCAGTTTGTACCTCACCTCTGTGTTTGGATATCATTTTAAATAGTTTGTGTCAGTTTTTAAAGCTGACCTGCTGTCAGTTGAAGCAGCAGTGTCTTTTTTTACCAGTAGATGGCAGTAAGAGTTTTATAATGTCTGTGACTGGCGCTGTAAATCTTGCACGCTAACCCATAGACTGTGCTAACCCAGTCTGAATGTAAAACAGGCATAATAGCAGACAGCTATAAGGCTTCTATTCATTTAAGACTTTCAGTGGACTTAATAATCTTCTTGAATAAGTGTGTAACATTTTTATATTATTTTGTCTAGTTTGTACATTTAGATACCAATACAAGGAGTTAATCTAATTAAAAAATAGTCTTCCCTTTTAATGCACCTCCACTGCATAATTAACCGTGCACACTGTATGAAAAAAAAAGATGGCCGAGGTCGAGACTACGACTGCAAGTAAAAAATATTTTCTTTGTTGATTAATCTGTCGATTTTTTTTCTCCATTTATCCTTTAGTTATTTGGTCTATAAAATGTCAGAAAATGTTTTAGAAAAATGTGGATCAGTGTTTCCCAGTTTTCTTAGTTCCCTCTGAAAATGTATAGAAATATATCAACACTACAGAAAATACAGACATCTAGAATATATGCATATATATATGTGTGTGTGTGTGTGTGTGTGTGTGTGTGTGTGTGTGTGAGTATATATAGCCAGACAGAGTATATACTATGGCCTTTAAAATAATTGAAGAATATTTTGAGTATTTTATTATATTATGGCTTATAGTTCTTGTAAAAGTTGATTATTTTGCACTGGGGACGCGGTAAAATCAAGCACATGTACCAAAAAGCTCAGTGACATAAAACTACAAACTAAAAGTATTCCACTGTGCATTATTCTGTGATAATGTGATAAATGAGATGTTTTCACAAATAAGTATTTGACGAATTTTGAAGAAAATATGAGGAAGCTTGTTTTTTTTGTATTGTAACCCTTATCTGTGTCCTCAAAATGTTATCGTGATGCAAAGTGCGCTTGATAAATTATATTCTTTAAAATTCCTTCTTTTTTCTAGTTTTTGATCCCCTGGTAGAGTTACACGTGAATGCAACGCCATTAGCCAAGAGCTTGTATGAAGCTAGAATATCTGGCTTTTACCTGGTGGCTGTGAAAGCACCACCGCTTGCACACTACCGACCCGCCCCAGACTTTGAGCGCACCAGCCAATCGGCTTCTGGGGATTGTGAAATTGACCAATCGCGTGGCCAGAGCGGCGTGTAAAGGGGCGGGTGTTTGCCTGTGCCTAGCTAACAATAGCCTGGGATCGGCAAGTTTACTGTATAAAAAAAAAAAAAAAAAAAAACAGCCAGGAGGCGACACAGTGAAGCGCCGCTGAGCCCAGAGGAGAGCAGAGTTTGCCGAATACATGAGACGGTGTGTCCCGGTGTCGGAAATTACCACTCAACACCCTGGGATATACATTTGCAACCAGACAAGTGGTGAGTGAGCCTTCCGACTTTATTTCTAAACCGCAAATGTAGCCGTTCATCTGCACCCTCAGACAGGCATGGTGCGGTTGTGAATTAGGGGCTCATTTGCCAGTGAATAGGAAGGGGTTAATGGTTACTGTAGGCTGGGACCACACTATTATTCCCTTATTCTGGATCTGCATCCATATATTAACGCCCCAGACCCCGCAGGCCCATCAGCCCGCGCGCACTGACTTGAAGTCAGCCACGACGAGGTTATTACAGCGGGGTGGTGTGGTTATTTTTTTTATTACACCGATTTCCTCCCAGTTAACCAGCTGGCTGTGATAACATGGGAGTTCCTGCTGGATAACTGATAACGCGGCAGGGCGGGTGGATGAATGAATAGATGAACGAATGAATAAATGAATGAATGAAATCGACTTTTCCATCTCTGAAATGTACCTCAAAGGATACCTCTGACATGATTCATCAGAAAGTCCATGCCGTGCCCACAGCCTCTCTGCTGTAGCCCGAGAATAGACACAAGCTCTGCTCTCCTCTCACTACAGAACCTTCTCAACTCTGAAATTACTCAGATTTAAAGTTTATTTCTGACCTCTTATCTGCTATAATAGGTAGGCAAGTAATCAAGGTTCCATCTTTTTACGTTTTTAATCCACTCGTAAATTGTCTGCTAAATATTTCTTTTAATCTTCAGGAGTGGACAGAACATTTACTTGAGTATTTTCATGTTGTACCAGGCTACTTAAACGTTTACTCCACTACATTTTAGGAGGAAATATTGTGCTTTGGACTCCACTACATTTGTTGGATAACTTAAATTACTTGTTACCTTGCAGATTGAGATTATTATTACAAAACATGATGATGATGATGTATGAAGATAAAACTGGATAAAACAGCAAACAGTGAAGCTACACAGCAGTATGTTGAGTACTAAGTTATGGACATATTAATGCATCAATAAATCACAATATAATAATGTTATAAACATTATTCTGAAATGAGCCATTCTACATGTTGGGTATATTTACTTGTGATACCTTAAGTATGTTTTGATATTTGTACTTTTACTAAAGTAAAGTTTTGAATGCAGGACTTTTACTTTTAAGAGAGAATGTCTTCAGTGTGGTATTCATTCATCCATCCATTAATTCATTCATTATTTGTAACTGCTTATCCTGTTAAGGATTGTGGGGGGCTGGATCCCACCTGACACTGGGCGAGAGGCGAGGTACACCCTAGACAGGTCCCCGGACTATAAAAGGGCTGAGACATAGATGCTACTTTTACTTTGAAGGAGAGGTGTGTAGAATTTAGTGGCATTTATTGGTGAGGACTGCAGATTGCAACCAACTGAACCTTCTCCTCCCATGTGTCAAACGTGAACTCATGGTTAGAATTCCTTTCAGTGTTCTTTGCTCAGGTTTTTACTGGGAGCCGAATTATCCTCAGAGTTCTCCATCTCTCCAAAACAAAAAGACCAGGTAATTTAAACCATTAGAAACTCAGCAGTTTTTAAAGCAGTTTCACATAAAAAATATATATATTTTTTTCAGCCTAATGATCTGAGTTTTTTTCTGTCCAAAACAAATACAGCTGGGGATTTAAACAGGTTGAAACACTAATAACTGCTATTAACTCTAGTAGCGACATAAAAACAAGAAAGTCCCTTTCTAGAGCCAGTGTTTGGTTTGTCTGTTCTGGGCCACTGTATGGTGGTTCATCATGGCAGTGCAACATGGTGGACAATTCTTATTTTCTAGTAATTATACAAAAGAAAAGAAACATACTTTTTATGTTATATTCCATTTATACCAATATATATCCCCCTAAATCCTACTCACTGGACCTTTAAGTAAAAGACCTGAGTACTTCTTCCACCTCTGTCAATATCACTATAATGCCACCAGCATGTCTGCAGTACTCAGTTGCAACTTAGCAGTTGCCTCATTCATCATTATCGCTGTAAACTTGTAGTTTTCTCTGATTCCTGCACAGTAATCTGTCAGAAATGCACTGGGGCTCTCGTTTCCACGTGGCTCAGCAGAAATTTCTGCACCTCTCTTGATCAGTTCAGAGAGTTTGTTCATGGCCCAGTAGATTTTGGGAGATTTTAGTGTCTTTGGCGAGTTAGACAGAGAGTGCATCTTATTGATCACAGTCAGGCAGACACGGGTGCTCTGAGTCTTAGTTGGCTTTTTTATCAGCATTAGGGGTAAGCTCCCTTTTCACCGCTGCTTTTAGACTCTTCAAACTCACCCTCGTTTTTGACTCAGCAGGATAAATAAACTAATTTCTCACTCTCTGTAGGTTGGTCTGTGCATACACTGCAGTCCTGCTGAGGCTGACGTTGGGCTGACGTTGCCCTTTGCTCCCTGTTATAAAAAGTTTTCCCTTCATCTGAGTGAGCAGTTTCCTGGATAATGAAAAGCTGTATATGTGGGAAGCTGATTAAAAGTGTTGGTGGTTCACTCCTGGGCTGTTTGTCCCACTGGCAGACAGAAAAAAAGACAATTTTCCTGGAACAGCACTGGACTCAATGTAATATTTTGTGCTTGATGTTTTACTGTTGAATTTCTCACCTGTATAAGGGGAGCTGATAGTGAAGCAGTGGTCAAATAACCAATTTCAAACAGTTAAACACTGTACCTAAGTACTAATTTAAAGCAGTAGGTTAAGTCCACTGCAATTACGCGACAGCTTTAGTTACTTTACAAGTTGAGATTTTTGCATACAAAACATACAAAGAGCTATTATGAGATGATGTTTTGTTATAAATGAAACTACCTCTGTACCAAATAATACTTACAAGTAGAGCTGAAACAACTAGTTGATTAATCGATTGGTTGATTGACAGAGAATTGAAGGGACCCTCATTGTAGCTGAACATGTCTGGGTCAAAAGTGTTAAAACCTCTGAAAAAGCAAACAAGGGCTTCCTGGTTTGGCTGAGCGGCAGCAGCAGTGGAACCCATGAATTGGGTCATGGTTTAAGGGCAGTGGCGGCACAGCGGTTTCCATGGAGACCTGGGTGTGGCTAAAGGAGTGTTTTATGGCCCCGTGTGAAGCATGATGCCACCCAGTTGTCACTTTGACACCTCAACAGCATGAAGGAGTGGGAGGCAGGTCAGGAGAGGTTAATGACCCATTTGGCTCCTGTAGCTTTGGGCCTGGCTACTTCAGGAGAATGATGACCGTGTGTGTGTGTGTGTGTTTGTGTGTGTGTGTGTGTTCCTTTTGACCAGACTTTGGGGTCCGTCAAAGACTTCGTTTTGACCTGCTGACCCACAGTATGAGCTACTGACTGCCACACACACACACACACACACACACACACACACACACACACTACTATAGTTCTCAAAGGAACTCTGGAAAAAAAAAAAAACTCACGGGGCAACTTGGGGGGAAACCAGAGGATGGACACCATGTTTCTGCAGTGGTAATTGCAGAATAAGGGTCGCTGCTAGCTAGCTCTCACCTGACCAAGGGAGTGCCATGGATGTATAAAGAGAACTGGATGCACTCTTTGAAGCGGGGCCCTGTTCATTCCTATGAAAGTTGCTTAGTGACACATAAAGTCAAAATGGTTCATCTGACACGTATGAAATTACCCGGGATGACTGGCATACCTGTCAAGTTTTGGATTTGAAAATAAGGGAAATTTTCCGGCGCCCAACCGCGAGCCATCCCACCACCCCAACCAAGCTCCAGTATCCTTTACATTTTAAGACAGGTGTACACAGAGGCGGTCCTGGCTAGTTTTACGCCCTGGGCGAATCATCCCATCCCTCAGTCCCTAAAGTGGAACATTACCTGCTACAAAGAGAGAAATGTGAACAGCTCGTTTCTCCTCTGACACGCCACATACCTGTGTGCCGCCACGGCACAGTTGTCCAGGTACTACTGGGCAGTCATGACACCAACGTAAGAGGAAATTACTGGACCTGGAGTCGGACTTCTCTGTCGCCGGTAAGCCATTAACTTGCGCCGCAGAGCACTATGAGCCTCCGCCGTATTCCTGTCTGTGACCCCCCGTTCAACCCACAACCGCCAGGATTTGTCTTTCCTTTCTGCTGCTGGTTGAAACGTGATAATAGGGGCACCCCAGCGCCCACTCCACTAACTTGACGTAGAAATGAGCGGTAGCTTAGAAAACTGGTGAGTTTTTTTTGTTTGTTTTGTGTTTTTTTGGAGGGCGCTTGTTCACCCTCACGTAGATTGCGCCCTGGGCGGTCACCCACATTGCCCATAGCAAAAACCGTCCCTGGGTGTACAGGAAATCTAAAATAACCACTTGTCAACCAGACCCGCTGTCAACACTAACCTCGCGAGAACTGCCACCTGCAGTAACCTGGGTGGCAGTGGCTAGCGACAGAGTTCAGTTTGGAGAGGCAGAGGAATGTTTTTTTGTTGTTGTTGTTGTTGTTTTAAATTATATTATAATACAGGAGATTTACGGGAAAATACTAATACGGGAGGACAGCGGGAAAGAGGGGTAAAATACAGTAGTCTACAGGAGCCTTGACAGCTATGATGGTTGACACTGCTTCTGCACTGTGCAGCCTACAGAGCAGGTGCACTAGAGACTTCTGCTAGCTGAGACAGCTACTTAAGCACTAGTTAACTTGAATGGGGATGAAATGATTTGATTCTGCAGCTCTTCTAGACTAAACAAATATTAACGAACCGAATGGATCAAATCCAAATAATGAAACTTAATATGAAAGTTATTTAGCGGGGGTTGTGATGCTCAAAAAAATCCATCCCCTGATTTACAGACATGTCTTTCACCATGTAAGTCAATGGAAAAAAGTCTTTTTGGGCCATAGGGCATCATGTGACTGTGTAATTACAGTGTTTGGCCACAACAAAGATTGGCTACAAAACCCTGCGCACTTCCTGGGGGCTCGGGTGGTGTGTGGTGTGTGGAGTGGTAAAGGCCACCGTTAGCTTAGCAGTGAAGACCAGAGGGTTGGCTGTTGCCACCACACATGTTAACGT